GTTGAATTATTCTATGACATTTCATAGAAATGTTGAACATTTCTATGACTTCTAAGGATGCTTGCTCCTAACTACTAGAGTCTTAGCTCTGTCCTGTACTTTGGGGCTCTGTTCTTTCAATGAATATTTATTATTTTTTTACCTTTTATTTTTTCCAGTTGTATTGAGATATGTTAATAATTGACATATAACATATTGTTTTAAGTGTATAAAATGCTTTTAAATTTGTGTATATTGTGAAATGATCATCACAATATTTAATTAACATCTACCATTATATATTGTTACACATTTTGTTGTTGTTGTTGTGATGAGAACTTTTAAGATCCACTCTCTTAGCAACTTTTAAATATATGATATGGTATTGTCAACTTTAGTCACCATGCTGTAGTCAGGAATAACTGAAGTATGTACCTCTGACTACTTTTCACCCATTTCACCCACCCTCAGCTCTTGCTTCTGGCAACCAACAATCTGTTTTCTGTATCTATTGAGCTCTATTATGTTCCAGGCTCCATTCTAGGAGATGGCATTTTGGCAGTGACCAAAACAGTGAACAAAATAGGTTTCCTGCCCACAAAAAGCTTACATTTTTTGTACGCAGGCAAAAAACCTGTGAACATAAATGAAATATGAAATATATTAATAGACAATAAATTCTAGGACCAAAAGAAAAGTAGTGAAAGTGGGATGGAAAGGTATTTGTATAGAATTTGAAAAAGTGGAGGAAGCAAGCCATATGGATATCTGAGAAACAGAGCTCCTGACACAAGAAATAGACTGTAAAAAGACTCTGAAGTAAGAGTAAATCTGCACGCTCAGGACCCAGCAAGGAAACTTCTTGGCTCAAGTGGAGTGACAGGGATGCTAATAAGAGATGAGATCTAGAGACTAAGAAAACTCTTGAGAACCCCTTGGACAGCAAGGAGATCAAACCAATCAATCCTAAAGGAAATCAATCCTGAATATTCATTGGAGGGACTGATGCTGCGGCTGAAGCTCCAATACTTTGGACACCTGATGGGAAGAACTGACTCATTGGAAAAGACCCTGATGCTGGGAAAGATTGAAGGCAGGAGGAGAAGGAGACGACTGAGGATGAGATTGTTGGATGGCATCACCAACTCAATTAACATGAGTTTGANATGGGAAGAACTGACTCATTGGAAAAGACCCTGATGCTGGGAAAGATTGAAGGCAGGAGGAGAAGGAGACGACTGAGGATGAGATTGTTGGATGGCATCACCAACTCAATTAACATGAGTTTGAGCAAGCTCTGGGAGATGGTGAAGGATAGGGAAGCCTGGTATGCTGCATTCCATGGGGTTGCAAAGAGTTGGATACTTCTGCATAACTAAACAACATATATAGTAAGATATTTATGTGTGAAGATTATGTATTATCTTATAGTTTTTCATATATATATATATATAAGTACTTTAGATTTCCCTCTGAGCAAAATAGAGAGCCTGTATCAATCAGCTTAGGCAATTTATGATATGATGAAAGTGAAAACTGAAAGTGTTAGAGTCTCAGTCATATCCAACTCTTTGCGGCACCATGGACTGTAGCTCACCAGGCTCCTCTGTCCCAGGAATTCTCCAGGAAAAAATACTGGAGTGTGTTGCCATTCCCTTCTCCAGGGGATCTTCCTGACTCAAGGATTGAGCCCGAGTCTCCTGCATTGACAGGTGGATTCTGTACCGTCTGAGCCACCAGGTAAGCCCTTATGATTAGTTAACAGCTCCCAAATCTCAGTGACTAGAGCAAAAAACACTTACTCCTTACTCTTATTGTATATCTGCCACTGTTTGCCTGTAGCTCACTCCGGAGGGGTTAATACAGTATCCAGTCTGATGGAGAAGCCTCTTTTTGGAATATTGGAATTGTACCAGAAAGAATAGGAACAATTTAGTCAACCATATTTGCTCTTAAAAATTCTCTCTAGAGACAGACACAAAAAACAGTTTGTGCTCACATGACATTGTCCAGAGCAAGTCACATGACTGAGCCCAGTCAACAGAGTAGAAATGTATAATTATCTTCTAGAGAGGGGTAATATTCAATGATTTTTAAATATTGACACAATTTACAATACACTCATTGGATAATGTTCAGTACAGAAATAATCTGACTGGACATTTAAAAAGTATATCTATGACAAGAAAAGACTGCTGTGAGGAAGGCAGAGAGCTTATAGAGAACATTCTTTTTACTTACTGACTTTGCTCACCGGTCTGAGGTCAAAGTAGAGAATAGTGGGTTTTGAGCTACCTTCTTACTCTCTATAGCTTAGTGGGCTTTTCTAAAGGTGATGAAAGTTTTCTGAGAGGGTAAGTAGATATTATAATGGCTAAGCTTTAAAAGGAGCACTGAAATTTGAAATTAAAAAAAAGTCAAAAGCCGTGTACAAGGAAACAGCATCAAATCTGGATGACATTAGAAAGAAACTAAGACAAGTTAAAGCCATGTTTTTATAAACCTGTCATGTCATACATAATAGTATGTGCATATATTTAGCTATTTAGTCATTTGAGCATCTAGAATTCTTCTGTTCCTAAACCAATGCATTTCCCATTCTTCACAGGATCATTGTAAAAGTCAGTGTGAAATGTATTCTTGCTTTCCATTATGAAACCTCATTTTATATATTAGAAGTTATTATGGGTAAAGTTATGCTAATAAAAAATGCTTCAGAATAAAAGAATTGACCATTTTAGATTTAAAAAATCAACTTCATTGCTTGACTATCTGTCTCCTGGATTTTGATTTGCAAAGTATTTTCTTCTCTGACTATAACCAGCAAGAATGACTCAATGTAGGTAATTTAATTGCTGTATGATCCTCAGATATTTCAGTTTCATTATCATTATTTTATGGTACCAAATATTTCAGTTTAATCCTCCCTAAAATTTACAAATTTTGCTACATATAATATTTTACTATTTCAGTACATAATAAATAACTATGTGTGTGTGCTTAGTCGCTCAGTTGTATCTGACTCTTTGCAACCCCATTGACTGTCACCTACCAAGTAACTCTCTGTTCATGAGATTCTCCAGGCAAGAATACTAAGTTGGGTAGCCATTCCCTTCTCCAGTGGATCTTCCTGACCCAGGGATCGAACCCAGATCTCCTGCATTGCAGGAGGATTCTTTACCATCTGAGCTGCCTATGTATGTATAAATTAAAATGTGCTACTAAAAAATCTAACTGGGAGCAAAAATACAATTCCTTGATTTTTTTCCCTACCACTTACATCACTTTTCTTTCTATTATCAATTCAGCATGCATAATTAGCTGTTATAATAGATATATAAATAAGTTGAATTACTACTTCTAACTGGCAAGGAAAAAAAGAAAAGATATACCCTTTGGTTTGCAGTCCTTTGGACTGCAAGGAGATCAGACAAGTCAATCCTAAAGAAAACCAACCCTGAATATTCATTGGAAAGACTGATGCTGAAGTTGAAGCTCTAACACTTTGGCCACTGATGCGAAAAACTGACACATTGAAAAAGACCCTAACACTGGAAAAGAATGAAGGCAAAAGAAGAAGGTGCTGCAGAGGATAAGATGTTTAGATAACATCAATGAGCATGAATTTGAGCCAATTCCAGGAGACAGTGGAGGACAGAGGAGATTGGTATGCTACAGTCCATGGGATCACAAAGAGCTGGACATGACTTAGCGACTGAACAGCAACTAGCATGGAATAAGTTAAGACCTGTAATCATTTAAAGCCTACAGAAATAATAGGAATGACAAATATTTGTAACACTCAAAAAGACTATGAAATGTTCTTTCTCTGAAAAGTGAACTTAATGACATGCATTTTATAATATTTTGGCAAATTAATTTTGAGCAATTTCCTCTTTTAAAAAATTAGAAAAAGGTTTTGGTGTCTGGCACATCATAGTTCCAATCTATTTAAGACCAATTATTTACTTCCTGTATTGTTCTCTAGAGGGGTGGCTCTTAGATAAGCCATTTTAATGTAAACCCTAATTGTTGGAGTTTTAAGTGTAATTTTATCGATAACTCTAATTGTAGTTACTGTATTATTATACATTTAAAACTTATTTTAGAGTCAGTGTCCTTATGTGTCCACCCTTGCATGTATGTACAAATTCTTTCATGCACATTGACACATGTTTCATGTATGCACACACACAAAACACACAAAATGGAATTTCTACATTTTGGGAAGAAAAGTATCATTGAATATGTATAAATATCAGTAAATTGAGGAAAATTTTCAGGAGGATACTCTGGATGGTTCACATTCTGACAGTCCAAGATATTCTTTCAGAAGGTGAAATGGACTAATCACACCAAACTTTACCAGACCATTTGACAGTTACTGATTTTTCTTCACCAGTCAACCATTAACCCTAGATAATTTACCTCTTGAAATTAATTTTCCTGTATTGACTTCTTTTAAAAGTATTCCTTTTTAAAAAATTCTCCCATAAGGAAGAGAAATAATTCATTTTTTAATAAGCCAACATCTTTCACAAATCTATTGTTTTTTCAAAGTAGAAAAATAAATTTTGTTTTTATTTAATACTAAAATAATGAATTATTGCTATATAACCAACCTAAGTGATTTATATGGGTTGTGGAGACCAAAAATTATATTAGAAATAAATGTGAATTGAAGTCTTGAGTTTATATGTATAATAGCCATTAATCACCATCATAAGTATTTTATTTTCTTATTTATCTTCTGAATACTACTAAAAATGATTTAAGGCTCATCTCCCACATCTTCTAATATATAAATTAGTACAAATGCACTGCAACTGATTATTTAGAGACTGGCATATAAATTTACCAGGATTACTAGAAATTGGCTATGTTCATTAATGAAAAACTGTTCCACCTCTGACTGTGCTGCACTTTATATTTCACCAGAAATTTTAGCAAACTTTCACCCTGATATAATTAACTTGTCATCACCCTGTTTACCACCTTTCACATTTTCTACTTTATTCCAGATGCTGCTCCTATGTAGGCCGGCGTGGAAACGGGCCTCAGGCAATCTCTATTGGCAAGAACTGTGATAAGTTTGGAATCGTTGTTCATGAACTGGGTCACGTGATAGGCTTCTGGCATGAGCACACGCGGCCAGACAGAGATAACCATGTGACTATCATACGGGAAAACATCCAGCCAGGTGAGGGGCTGTAGCGGGCGTCGGGTTTGAGGTTGACTAAACATCTTTTAACAGGATTGTGCTGTTTACAGTGTAATTTCTTACAAAAATGTGAACTGGTTCTGTTGATATTGTGGCTCAACATTTTCCTTGATTAAAAAATACCTATTATAGTGTTGATTTGTTCTGCAAATCAAATGATCTTATGCAATTTTTAGATTTGCTTTTTTTTCTTAAGATTTATCTGTTTTATATCTCTGATTCTTTCAAAAAAATGGTGAACCATAAATTGATATTGTTAAATTTTCAAAAAGCATTTTCTATCCTTAGTTTTATAATTTATGTTGTTGGGATTTAAAAGGGTCCAGAGTTTGTCACAAAATGTGCTGCTACCATAAAAATCTGTATTATACCAGGGATAGTTTCATGAGAAAATTCCAGGGAAGTGAGAAATTTCCAGGATAGCCCAAATATTTTCTTGAGATTTTCTCTTAATCTTGAGTACCCTAAAGACAAATTCTTAAGAATGTTTCAAATGTCAGTAGTTCAGTAGTTAATATGCATTTAAATTTAATTTCTTCTGACATTTGATGGGTAATGATAACCTAATTTATAGTTTTGTATTTGTTTTGCCTTTCATAAATTCATAAAGATAAGTACATTTCAATTGCCCAAAGAAAAATCCTATTGTTTAGAATTGATTTATAAGATTGTGTGTATTTCAAGCATTGTTGTTTAGTAGCTAAGTCGTTTCTGACAGGTTTTGCAACTCCATGAACTATATAGCTCACCAGGCTCCTCTGTCGTTGGGATTTCTCAGGCAAGAATATTGGAGTGAGTTTCATTTCCTTTTCCAGGGGATCTTCCTAACCCAATGATCAAACCTGCATCTCCCGCATTGCAGGCCATGTGTTATTTCCTTATTCATAGCCACTTTTAAGTTATTAATACAAACATTGAATTCCTAAGAATTTCCTGTAATTAACAGCATTGACCTATTTATTTGCTCACAACATATTTGTACCAATTATGTATCAATTGTTTATTGAGGTACTATTAGATATTAGAGATACTTCATGAAAATTATAGAGCTTAGTGTAGATATGTGTATATATATATAAACATTGTAAACAAGTGAGAAAATGAGCACAGCCATATGTTGAGAGTACTATCAGTCCAAGCAAGGTGTGACAAAATGTGCTTTGGTAAGTCGGGAGATGTCACAAAAGAACTGAAATTTAGAAGTAAAGGGTTTCTAAGTGCAGAAAAGAGTGATAGAATATCTAACTGGAAAAAAAAAGCATCATGATCAAAGCCACAATTACAGATAATTAGATTATTTTCATCTGCTCATAGGGCTGCATGGTAAGTTACAAGTGGGAGATTAGTTGGTAATTACCAAAGGGGATTAGATCATAAGGATTTTCTATAAGACTCAAGGAAATTTATCCTGGCTTTTATCCTAGAGATTTTATCCTCTAGCTACTGGAGAGTAATCAAAGGATTGAAAGCAGAACAAGTTCAGGTTTAAAAGAAATAAAAAGAGATTTCTTTCAGCTTATAAGCATTATTAACTGAGAATGGGGATATGGGAGTGAGGAGAATGAACCTATTAGAAGCTTAAATAAGTAGTTTATAAGAAGTGACTGAGTCCTCAATTAGGGTGGTATAGACCAGGAAGATGAGGAAATAACATTTCAAAAATATTTTAAGAGAAGCATTATATGAAGGATGTGAAGGAAGATCTTCAAAGCTTTATTTTTAGGCCACTGGATGAGTGGTGGCACCATCAAATGAAGTAAGCTAAGAAATATGGATAAAATAAAAAGCAACATACTTTTAAGAGGAAAAAGACAAATAATAATTTCATTTAGCATATGTTTGAGTTTCAGAAGCCTTAAGATGATTGAAGTAGAGATATTTAGCAGACAAAGGAAAGGTGAATCTAGACTTTAAGATATATATAGAAAGGAATTTGATACAGGATTTGACTGTTTAGGAAAATGTTGGAGAAAGAAGGAAATAAGATATCAGGTAGAATATGGGGAATACCACTATTTAAGTTGCAGTTTGTAGAAAATCTCTCAAAAGATTAAGTTTGGTCTAAGGGGTAGGAGAAAAATCAATGAGTGTAATGTTATAGGGAAGAGACCACTTCAAGAATAAAAAAGTATTCTGTAGTGTTGAAAGAGAAGTAAATAAAATCTATACTCTCAACATGGAAGACTCTTTAACTCCTAAGCAGCTATCAAGGTTCATCTAATACTTTTTTATCACTGGGAGACAAAGAGGAAATAGTATTTCTGATGATTACTCCAACTACCAATTAAATGAAAAAAAGTTTTCTATTAACTACAGTTATTAAGTTTCCTCTATTATGTTGACAAAATAACTTATTAAGGAAGTAACTTCCAAGAATGTCTCTTATTCTTAAAATTAGGACTCTGGTTCAACAAAAATTTACATACCTACAACAAGCAAGAAATGTATAAAAAGCATGTAAATACATAATACTTAACATAGTGCTAAACTAATTGTGGCTTTCCTTTTTTGTTGTTATTGAGTCAATATTCAGGTTAATAGAAAGGAATAATTTATTTAGTGAGATGTTCTGAGTATTTGGAACTCTATGTACACTTTGACACCCCTTTTTGGATTCAACAATATTCTCAACATATGACTATTCTCACTTTTCTCATTCACTTTCAATAATTTGTATGTATGAACTGTTTGCCCTTGTATTTGTATGGTTTTGCATCCATAGATTCAACCAACCTTTGAATCTAAATTTCTTATTCATTGTACTAAACCATTTTATATAAAGGACTTAAGCGTCCACAAATTTTGGTATTCAAGAAGTTCCTAGAAACAATCATGCAGATACTGAAGGCTGATTGTAATTCTAACATGAAAGAATTCATGTTGGAGAATGATCTTCAACAGATCTGTGACTTACTCAGAAACTTAAGATCAAGTGTTATTCTAGGGCAATGTCTAATAAGTGTCAACTTTAGCTTTGCATTTATATGCAAAATAGTGACTATGTATGATAGGAGCCAGTTTTGTACAAGGATTTTATTACTTTTAGATTAGTTTTAAGCCATTTTAGAACAGGCCTTCAAGAATGAGGCTTTTCATTTTTAAAAAATATTGTTTCGCATGAGTTCTGCTGGTACTCTGTATCTCTGATTTTCTTTTCCCTTCTTTCTTGAAATAAGTCTAATTTTGTTTACAGAGTCCATATATGGCTGTGTTCTTTTTAACCACTATGTCACATACATGCTAAATGCTCAATTATATGCTTCAGAAGATATTACTGAAGTTGTTTCATGTTCCACTTTCAGAAATTTTTATGAAACATTTTGCTTTACTCAGGGAGTATATTCACATATTGTGCTTGGAAGTTGAAATATCCAGTAGATTACAGATTAATATTAATAAAATCAGCTCCATAGCTTTATAAACATCACACTTGGAATTGAATATATGACCCAGCAATCCCACTTCTGGGCATACACACCGAGGAAACCAGATCTGAAAGAGACA